ACCAAAAACAAACAAATACAAGAAAGAACCAACAAACAGGAAATACAGGCAATAGGTACGTTTTTAACGCCTACGCTGTCATTCCAATTAGAAATACAAATTCTAAGGATTTGAAGTAGAATTAGAACATTTCCTACTCTAATGAAAATATAAATCAAGTAATGTTACAGAGGGGCTGTCCAACTGGCAGCCCACGGGCCACATGCAGACTGGAGGCTCCCACCAGGGAACCGCTCCCTCCCTCATTGCTCCAGCTGCTACAATGGCCACGATCTCCAGGCTTCCCTCTTTCTCCTCAAGCTTCTGCTTCCTGCGTCCACTCCTGCAGGTGAGGCAGTGCGGCGAGCATAGGTCTATGCTGCCGGTGCTCCCCCTGCACCCAGCTGTGCAGGTGGCAGAGGGAGGGGGTTAGGCTGCACCCACTGCTGGGAAAGTAGCCAGACTACCTGCAGGACAGGTGGGACCCTGGAAGGGCCACCCTTGTGGTGTACAGCCTACTTTGAGTGCAGCCTGGGAGCCTGCAGCACATGGCCTCCTGGTGCCCAGAAGTTGAACAGCCCTGATCTACAGAGATCATGGAAAAGCCCACAAAAACCTACTGCTATTGCAAGAGTCACAAAATAACCCATTATACAGTCATGCTTGGTCTTTTTCTGTGTGCGCACAGAGCTACTGTCTTTTGAAGTTCTGAACTGTCCCGAGTTGTGACATGTTTCTTGGGATTGGGGCAAGGGGGTTTGCTCTGTGTCTCAGTCTTTTTCTTGACTCAGCATTTGGGAGAGCACACTGCTCTCTGGAAACCACACGTTGGTGAGTGAAGAAGAGGTTGCTTACATGCCGTTTGCGACCACCCTCACCTGCTATTGTTCAGCAGAGTGAAAGTTAGTAAAAAAGCAAATGTAAATGAGGCTTCTAAAAGGGACCTCCATAATGCTGACGATCTTCTATTCAGAAAGGCCACATTTAATTAAAATCCGTTTCACTATTACTTGTCACTACGGACCAACTATGTTACATTAATTTTAGATTAAATTCCATTGCATGTCTAGGGCTATTAGGTGGATATGGTTAAAAACAATTTTAAAAGGGCGATTGCCTGAATGACTTCAAACTAGCACAACTAACACTGCTGCCTCTATCTGCTCTACTTTTATTTTACCTGCTCACTTGCAAAGTTAGTAGGTCTATTCACAACATTTAGTACCATGGTACTCAGACCATCATACTCTCTCTGGTTCTGGACGAGAGTATGTTGCGCTGGACAATCTTCATCCATGAGACTGGGTAAATTCTCCATGACTTCTGCACCCTACATCAGGAGATGGCCAACTTTTTAGGCTATGGGCAGGAGTGGTCCCATTTGGGTCACAGGCAGGCGAAAAGTCGGGACTCAGGTGCCGCCACTGCTTCTCCTTGAGAAGGCACAGGGAGAGCTTCCCTTGCTGTCACTTCTCCATGGTGGCACAGGAAAGTGGCTGCTGCCAAAGCCCCCTCACCACTGCAGCCTGGCCTGCAGACAGAGGACTTAGCCCATGGGCTGTAGATTGCCAACCCCTGTTTTATATGGCTCTTGTTCCACCAGAGTTGGGCTTTCAGGCCTATTCTTTTCAATAACCACACCTTCTGAGGGGAATGGAAAATGACTACATTTCACTAACTCCCAGCTCCAAAAAAGGATCTATAGCAGGGGTTCCCAATGTTTGTGCCGAAGGGCACATTCAAATTTAAAAGAAAAAGAAGTGGGCACCAATATGACATCATTTTTTGTTGGAATAATGATTTTTACTGATCGTGAAAATGCATGTGGGCACCTGAATAACCCTTGGGGAGGGGGGGGTACCATGGCACCCATGGGCACCACACTGGGAACCACTGATCTACAGGCTCCACATTTGGAATAGGATTGCTAGCCAAGAATAAAGCCAACAACAGAATATTACACCAACAGGTTCAGGCAGGGGGAAAGGAGGAAAACAACACTTCCCAAAACTTTAATTATTAGAACCCTAGGTATGGTGACTGCTGCAGAACTCACTTTAAAAACCATCAGCCATGGCGAAGACCACTTTTTATTCATTAAAGTGTGTCTCTACACTGCAAACCTCTCTTAATGAAAGCTGGAAATGAGTGACCTTGTAACTCACTGCAGTTTTAGAACATTACTATACACAAAATGCCTGGGTAGGGGTGGGGAGTCCTTCAAGCTTTGCAGCTTCTACCGGTCATGTTCATTATGAACACCACACCTAGAATGCTTGGCATTTCCTCTTTTCCACATGCAAACTCTCTGGACACCTTCCTACTCACGTCCATTTAACAGCTCCCATTTAACAGCTCCCTGAAACTTCCCTATTTCTCTTGCCTGGAGATTTTCCTGCTCTCATCCTCTACACTCCCTCCCCGCTCTGCTCTCTCATGCCAGAGTCTATGTGTAGGACATCACATGCCTTTACTACCATCTCATAATTTACCCTTCAACCCATGTTAGGGGTCATGTATATTGTTTTAAAAACACATAATTGCAAAGATTCTTGTAGGGGCATATACATGACTCAGTTTTCCCATGTTCCTGTGTGCTACTGCCCTCAACAGGCTCCCTGAGCTGGAGGGGTAGAGGATGCAACTGAATGGCACATTGCTTTCTAAACAAATAAAAACAGTTATCGAGAGCCAAATGACATCAGTACATGTGAATGGACTTCACCTTTAACAACTAGGAACTAAAAAAGCTCAGAACAAAGAGACCCAGCAGGAAGAGACTAATCTCTGAGGTTTTACTGCAGTTAGGGCAGGGTTACAGTGCTCATGGCTGACAGAAAATAATATCCCCAAGACCTTTGGGGCAGGGCAGACATTTGGTGCGAGATCCGGCTTTGTTGCTTCTCAGTTGCCTTATAAATGCCATCTTGTTGTGTTACGATAACTTGGTATATGTATAACTACATACTGGTTGTATTTCAGCCTTGGAGTTAAGTGTTCCTACCAGATTCTAAGCGTGTCAAGAGTTGGGGGTAGGGCCATGGACAGAAATGTTTGAAGTAGCTTGCAAGTCCAGTGTCAGAGTGGACGAGCTCTTTGGCAATCCCATGACAGCCCCCATACTCTCACTTCTGCCATACCACAGTGCCCATTTCCTACCTTTGGGGTAGCTCCTTGCTCCTCTCCTTTCTCCCCAAGATCTGGGTTCCCTATGTTCATTACTCTGCTGCTCTTCCATGGCAGGGGATCTGCATACCTGCATAACAATCCTTCAATCAACTGCCCATCCTGGGCACTGTGGGTCTCTCATTCCTTTCCTTTCCTTCTGTGCACCCTCCTCAGCAGAGCACCCCACTTCTTCCCCCAGGCTAGGGGCTCTGTATGCTCCATATTCCAAGACCTATTTACCTTTCCCTCTCCCGCACTAAGGTCCCTTGATTTCCTCTCCTTTCACAGCTTTTGTGCGTCCCTGTTCTCCCCATCTCTCACACCAGGCTCCCACATTCTTCCCACAATCATGCAAGGGGCTTTGTGCCCCTCTGTCCACTATATTACCTGGAAAACATATCATTCAGGGTGTCTATTATACTTGATTAGGAGGATAAACAGAGCCAAGACAGAACTGCAATTATACTGGATCAGTGTTGTAGTAGGTGTGATATTCCAAGGGAAAAGAAAGAAACAGGATTTATTTGGCAATATTTTTATCAGACCAACTTTGGAGAGAGATGTTACATGAGGTTTTGGATACAAAATGCCTGAAATCAGCCAGGAATACAAACTAAAGTTAAACATCAGTTACAATAATAACTTTCACTTGTAAGTGAAAGTGATCACTTAGAAAGGGAAGTGGGCAGTAAAGCTGTGGAGCAAAAAGGAATTAACAGAAGTAGTCACAGACCAACTAAAGAACATCTGAAATAGATCTACTCAATTATGTAAAGAAAAAGACCATTTTATATGTGCCAAAGTTGAGAGAACTAGGCTTGTTTAGCTCGCAGAGAAGGCAATTAAGGGGGGACATAACAGTGTCATAAAGAAAAGAGAGCTGCTTTTCTTTGCCAGAGAGGGCAGGACTTGAGGAACTGGATTTAAATTACAGCAAAGCAGCTTTAGATTAAATCAGGAAGTATTTCTTTATGCTAGATCAGTGAGGCAGTTAAGCAGACTATGCAGAGAAGTTGTAGAACCTCCTTCATTGGAGGTTTTCATGAAAAGGTTGAACGAACATTGGATAGAGATGATTTAGGAGTACCATTCCCAAATTCATTAAGGGAATTAAACCTGACAACCATTCTAGTACTTTCCAAATCTATGCATCTATAAAAAGGGAAGAGAAACTATTATCCTAAGTGAAGTGCAAAGAGAGTTACCTCTTGTTATGCTGGAATGCATTACTGGGTGCTATCCATCAGTAGTTTTGCTTACAGACAACTTCAGAAGCTATGTCAATGCTAATCAGACGGCAGGTCTCCTTGCAATCCCCCATTTTCCCTCATTTGTTTTCTGTTTTTTAATCAGATCAGTAGGGTTAAGGTCAGTGATGCCTCAAAGCTTCCTTGAAGTGCTGGGATCGACCAGAGATGGCACTCAAAGCTTTCTGTGTTCTGTACGCAAATGACAGACAGGGCTATCAAGCTCAACAGATATCCATGTAAGGTTGGCCAACCATGGCTGAGTTACTCTGGTGCAATCTATTATCCATTGGCTGCTTTATTACTGGGGATGAATCAAATAGATTTGGAGCCTTCTTCACACACTGCACTCTAGGACTCAGAAACAGAATCTGTTGCATGCTAAAACATCCAGTTATATGCTAAAATAGCCATCTCAACAACAATCTAATGACAGAAGTCTTTCTGATGTTTCATGAATGTGTGTTCTCACAAATACCTGTCTCATCAACAGGGTTTCTATTCCAACCTGATCAATGAATTATCACAAAAAGGAAAGTGCTCAGCTTAGGGCCGAATTTCCCACCAGCAGCAAACAACGCTCTATTTTAGTGTTTTTATTCTTACCACAGGCAATGGTCCAGTATACCAAGGAGTCTGGTGCCTGGTAGAGGATCCGGTATGGTGCCACCCTAGCACTGGAGTCCAGCACAACATCAAGAGTACCCACGAGGAGACCTGTGAAACAGGAAATTCTGTGTTGGTGAATATGCACTGAGTGCCTCCTGCTCCCACCTTACCATTCATGACAGGAGTTCAGTGTGCTCCCCATAACCCTGCCCAACAGTTCTCCCCATTCGGCTGTCATGGCAAGAATGATATGCTCCTTGTTTTTGTCTACATAAAAGTGACAACACTTCTGCCAAAACTACAAGATCTACCATCAAAATATATGCCAACTTCTAACAAACTGATATTAGCTGAATGATGAGCAAGTTTTAATATATATATTTAAAAGCACATTTTAAAATTAATTTCTAATAGTCTTTTTCCAGTTCCTCAATCTTTAGGAGTTTCCTTAAGATACACTGATTATTCACTAGATGAGCTCAATTTCTAATTTCAGGTACGAAACAAATAAACCAAAATATATTTAGAACTAGATTCCTATGACATTTTCTGGAATCTGTGTTGAAAAGCATGGTCTTCTCTACCCTACCAGCTAATTTTCAATGAAAAAGGTATCAGTGGAAAGCAGTTTTCCCCAAAAATAAATATAAGCTTCCTTAGACTGTTGAAGGGGCATCAAGAGTGCCTTCAAGCTGTTCTGTATCGAGCTGTACTGGATGTTTTCCTGCCCCTAACAACAATTAAAAAAACAAAAAAGAAAAAACAAACAAAAAAACCCCCTAATGGAATTTCAGAGAGTAATCTGCGAAATTGTTAAAAATCCCACAAACGGGAACAATTTATATATATTTTAATCCTTTATAGTAAAGAGAGAGAGACAGGCCACATGGAAAATTCCCTCATTTGCTACCTATAATTTTCCCTATAGTATTATTATTATTATGGAAGATAAGAAAAGGGGGAGGAAAGGGCAGGAAGAAAGAGTATTTCAGAGAAGCACGCTGTGAGATTTTGCACTGCAGTTCAAGAAAGCTGATAATTCTTTAACAAAAGCATCCTTTCCCCAACTATTCATTTCACAAAGGGTGAACACATCATAGCTTTTGTAAACTACTCATTACATGCAACAAAATGGAGGAAGTTTTTTAAAAACAAATATTCCAACAAAAATCCCCTTTCCCTGCTCATTTGCAGCCTTTGCTCTGTTAGTTATTTTGCAGAATCTGCCAGAGGAAATTAAACCGGAATTTTTATTATGAATATCAAGAAGAATCTTTTCTTCACCCTTCCTCTTTTCTGGTACAAAACACTCTTTCAGATTTACTTTACACATCATAAGGAGACAAAGAATAAAAGCCTTTTCTTTCCCTTTGGTTTCCTTTTTTCTCCAAATTTCAACTGGCATTTGCAACTCCCCCACCGACAACCAATGTACAGTCATTAGCAGGCTTTAATTTAGAGTCATAGAAAATGAGGACTGGAAGGGACTCAGGGGGTCATCTAGTATCCAACCCCCTGCTCAAAGCAGAACCATCCCCAACTACACCGTCCAGCTAAGGCTTGTGTCTGCCTGGGTCTTAAAAATGTCTAAGGATGGAGGTTCCACAACATCTCTGGGTAGCCTGTTCCAGTGTTTTACTACCCTCCTAGTGAGAAAGTTTTTCCTTATATCTAGCCTAAGCTTACCTTGCTGCAACTTGAGAACAGTGTAGATCCATCCTTTGTCGCCATCCTTCAAATAATTGAAGGCTGTAATTAAATCCCCCCTCAGTCTTCTATTTCACCAACTAAAGCAGCCCAGTTCCCTCAGCCTCTCTTCTTAAGTCTGTGGGGGGCATGTGCCCCCCCGCCACGATTGGCCGCCGCTGCTGCCAGCTTCTGTGAGTGGTCACCACTCGCCACCCCACTGCCACTCACAAACTGTGCCCCACCGTGTCTCAGGAGGCACCAGTCACCCCTCACTGGATCGCTCTCCAATTTGATGCATTTCATTTAGAAAAAAAAAATGTTGTATAGATTTACCTAAACTGTGTTTTCTCCTCTCTCTGCATTATCATCAATCAGCCTCATTGTTTGTGGAAGGACTCTCAACTATGCTGCATTCCCATACTAGAATGTTAGCTACTGATTCCAGAAGCAGAACAGAAAAATCGGTGAATAAGAGAAACACGCTGTTACCTGGATAAAATGGCCTGCTCACAATTCTTCATTACACACATACACGTGCATCTACCTTATCTGTTTGTCTCTGTGACTACAGCTACACACTAGCCAGATGGCTTCACCAAACATTCTCAATTACTCTTAAGTTACTCCAACTCCTTCCTGAAACCAATGGGCAAACTAGTTCATAAATTTTCCTTTAAACGTGTTTTATTTACATTCCTCTCCTTTAAACACCATTTGCTACCGTTCAGCCAGTTCAACAGTGAAGCCCTGGTTCACAAACCAGGTATGCATGAGCTTAGAGCAGGGGTGGGCAAAATGTGGCCCGTGGGCCAGATGCGGCCTTCCAGGCCATTCTATTCGGCCCGCAGGACCCCTAAAAAATTTAGAAAATTAATATTTATCTTCCCCGGCTGCCTGTCACGCAGTCCTCAACGGCTTGCCTAAACTCAGCAAGCAGCCTTCCGCCCAAAATAATTGCCCACCCCCGGCTTAGAGCTAGAGTTAGGCACATACACAGTGCTATGCATGCTTTAATTATAAGCATGGGATTAACTTTGTTATACTGGGGATACAGCAACATTTTCTGTGCTAAACTTCACCGTGGTCACATCTACATGAAATGCTATAATGTGCAGTAGACTATTCTACTGCACATTAGCGCGGCACAGCAAAAACCATACTAACGTACTAATGTGCAGTAGAATTAGTCCACTGAGCATTGTGTCACAAAAAAACTGTTTGCCTTTGCTACTGTGCGTTAGTGCAGGCTAATGCGCACCTTTATGTACTACCTAAAGGCACTTTTACATGTGCTTCAGAGGTGGGGGTGGAGGCAGCTGCTCAGAGAGACGCTCTAATTAAAGCGACACTGTGTCTCATGTATCAGTGTCCCTGTGCTTAAAAATGGCAGTGGGGGCACTTGAATTAAAGCTCGTTTGACGAGCTTTAGTTCAAGTGCCCCCACTGCCATTTTTAAGCACAGGGATGCCGACAGACAGCACATGTATAGGTGCCCTCATATTAGAGGTGCTAAACTTAACACGCACTAGCAAAGGAGCATTAATGAAAGCATAGATGTGCCCCATGAAAGGGTTTCTACTCTGTACTTCCAGAAAATGTATCCCATGGCTTATACTTAGGACATTTTGTTATAACTTTACATGCCTTTTTACAGCATTAAATATGTAAAATGTGATGCAACAGCCAAATAAGGTTATTTGCTGTAGATTAAGAAGCATTTTCTTGGGCTTGTTCAGTTTACAGTTTTCATTTGAAGTTTCATGGCTATACAATTTTTTCAATGTAGAGTAAGAGGACTTGCACTAAATGAGTTAATAAATTGAGTCAGGCTTTTCTTTTATGTATAATCACTTCTTTACAAAATTATGAATGATATTCTATTTATAATTAAAGCAGAAGAGCTCACTGTGGTGCAGACGCACTGTTAAATAACCTGATTTGGACTGCTAACTCATGTCCTTGACTTAAAATACAATGTCTACCGATTCCTTTCCCTGATGCAACACTTCTGAAGCTGACATAACATGAACTCTGTGAGAGTGTCATAACTGAAAACTGGGACACCCCAAGAGCTGAGGACACAGGGACATCACAAATCCAGTCACTTGGTTAGAAATGTCAAGTTAGGCCAGGATCCCTATTTCCCTCTAAGCTATTAGAAGTGGAGGAAGGAGAGAGGGGGGAAAAAAAAGAGCGATGCATCATCCCAGCACTGTTTCCACAGAAGGCAGAGAAAGCTGGAAAAAGGGGTCTCACCAGCATCAATATGACAGAGCAAGGGTGTGTCAGGAAAAGAAGAGAGCTAAAATGCCTAGTGCTACAAGGGTTTTCCCATCCATCTTTAACTAGAAAAAAAACTGCAAATAGGTTACTGTTGGGGTTGGAGAGATGAAAGAATATTTCCAGCACTCTGTAAAAAGTCCAAGTGTTTTAAAAAAAAATCTCTGGCTTTTTAAATCTTCAGTCTTCACACGTGTTTTATTATTAGACATTTACTGACAACTGCATAGTCTTTTGATAGCAAGAAACATCACTTAAGAATCTGCTGTTTAAAAATAGCATTATTATCCTTATTATTATTAGTAGTAGTAGTATTATCCTTATGGATTATAAGACCATTTATTTTTTCCATACTATGGGTCAGTTTTCTTATGCAGATATTTGATGCAGCTTCTGTACTGCTTCTCTCTGAGGCATTTTTGTAAAGAAGTGATCATACTCAGAAACAAATCGTCAATCAGAAGTGTTGCATCAGGGAGAGGAATCGGTAGACATTGTATTTTAAGTCAAGGACATGAGTTAACAGTCCAAATCAGGTTATTTAACAGTGCGTCTGCACCACAGTGAACTCTTGTGCTTTAATTATAAATAGAATATAATTCATAATTTTGTAAAGAAGTGATCATACATAAAAGAAAATCCTGACTCAATTTGTTAACTCATTTAGTGCAAGTCCTTTTACTCTACATTTGAAACACTGTGTAGTTGTGAAAATTCAAATGAAAATATGAAACTGAACAAGACCATGAATATGTTTCTTAATCTACATTACAACTTTAATTTACCTAAAATAATCTGTTCACCAAATCACAGAATATCCTTTTTCACAAGTCAGTTAGCTAATTAATCATTGCATTATCTAATTATTAGGCAAAGACTTTTCTGACTTTTTTCACTATTTCATAATGTCATGTTACTAGCACTCTTACAACAAATTAAATAAAGGCTTTCAGATATTAAGGGTATTATATTAATATACAGCACGCCCTTATTCACATGAGTGGTTCTTGTAAGCAAGGATTTCTCAAGTGAGTAAGGACTTGTAGGATAAGTTTCTAAGGAATGAAGGTCCTGACCCAGCTAACATTACACAGATGAGCAACTTTATGCCTGGAAGCAGTCCCATTAGACATGCATGC